GTACTTTCTCCTAATTCATTTTAATCTTGTTACATCATTTAGCTCATTGGAGCTTTGTTTTCTTATTTATTGTTTAGTGTCACTCGTTCCCGTTTTTTTTTATTGTACCGTTGCATTTATTTGCTATGTAATAAACTTGTAAATCTTCCCTCGGATCTTTTGTTCTTACGTCGACCGTTTTGGCCGTCTTACACATATATGGGCAGCCAATACGGACCAGCAACGACTTAGTGGGCTACCATAATGCCCTTAACAGAAGAGCAGGTGACCGCCAGAAGCTCTCCTTCTACATGCTGGTTGAGCTTCTTTACAGGGAAGCTGGACTCAGTCTAATCCAAACCTGTTTCGTCTTCCAAAAGAAACTCAAGCGTCATCAGCGCACGACATATCGGCGACTGCAAGGAAAGATCATGGGTGCGTGGGAAGATTACTCGGATTCCAATATAACTGCAAGACAGCTTCTTCAGACCTGCAGCTACATTAATGGACCGACTCGTATGGAGTAGCAAGTTAGTTTAGAGATAGACAGAAAAATTCAAAAATTCTTCTTTTAGTTGAGATGTATAATGAGTGTAATTTGGTCTGAAATCATACACATGATTTAAAAAAGTGAACGAGTGCACAACACGAGTTCGATTTGAAAACACAAGTATAATAGCCAAATTTGCCAAGCAATGGCTTTTTTCTTTCATTATCTTTCAATGGCTGAGAAACAGATGAGGTTTAGAGCAAAAGATAGTGCGATTTGTGAACAAATTGCACCACTGAGAGCTAATCACATTGCAAGGATAACCAGTGACTTAATAAATAAAGAAAAAACGTCTTTAATTATGTTCCAATACATTAATAACATGCTTCTAGTGATATTTAATAATTCATTCACCCTGAAGAAGGATTTACACAGGCATAATACAAGAGCATCAGACAAAATACTCGATAAAATCTTCATGTAAAGGCAGTCAGATCTGGAATATTCTTCCGATAGCTATCAAAAATTGTAAATCAACTCATACTTCTAAGAGGAGAAGGAGAAAACACCTCCTTTGTGAATTAATCGATAGGAATTAAATTTCCTTTGTAGAGAAGTAATTTAGTTTGGTGATAAGCAGTTTCATGTGATATAGAGTGTTTAATAAGTTTGTGCAAACACTCCAAGGTAAAACTTACAAATAATAAAAAATCTCAATGATGTGCAAATTATCTATTTAAAAAGAAATATTTCATACAATAAAACAAATTGAAAAGAATAAAAGCTGCCTTGTGTTTTTAAGATCTTAATAAAATCTTCATTTGGTTCAGCTCAAAGGTCGGAGGGCTACTAAACTAAATTCGAGAGCAAAATGAGATGGCCTTCAAAAAAAAGTATAACACTTACCTTCCAAGAGTTCAATCTTGTTCAATTAGATAATTTTCGGCTCGTTTTGACCGCAAAAATCATCAAGAATAGTTGAAAACAAAACGCGAAACCCCGGCATGCCAACAAGGAGACTGGAGTCTACCCTAGTGCCTAGTCCTTTTGCGATATACCAAATATGGAAACAGGCGGCTGGCGGTCATATTCCTTGAAGACCAGGTTCAAGAATGTGTTCTGCACAACTCCGAAGTTAACTGTATCCGGAAATATTTTTAAACAGATTTGATAAATAGTAAGTTCAATACAATTAAGCAATAGTTGCAGTCTTCGATCGAATCGACTTTATCGATCGAAACGACCTTCGATCGAAACAACCTTCGATCGAACTGACTTACATTCAAATATAGAATTCAGATTTTATTATTTTTGCCTGTGGGAGTTGAACGAGTGATCGTATTGCGTGAGGTGTTGCATTTAATGATCTTAAGAGTGAGGTAATTTGGCAGCCGATTATATCACCTATTGTAGATTACATCTGTGTTTATTGGGTTATCAAGCACTCCAGTATACCTAAGGGGAAAAGACTTTATCGAGAATTGGCTTCTGTCAGCTTTCTTTGTTGCTTTGTCTTCGTATCTTTAAAATACCCTTGTGATGTGACGGCTGTAATGGACGAAATCTTGTGTCATTAGGCCCTTGCATCTAGATTACGATCATTATCAGTGTTATTTAGGAACCGTAGGAGTACCTAAATTATGTTTAACTAAATTGTAATTCAGTATCTGTTCATCAAACTTTACTGTGCACCTTTAGGACTCTTATGAACCAGAATGTAAAACAATTATCCTCTCTCAATCTCCTGTCAAACCTACATTTGCGGTCTTTTATCAATTCCAGTGATTTCATAGTTGTACTGTGTGAAGTTATACAATTTTGAATGGAAAATCATATCACTGATGTACTCTTTAAATATTTTTAGGGGAGAAATAAAAAAGTCACAAAACAGCATTAATGGATTTTGATGTAAACATGTCAGTTTGTAATCAGTGTGGACTCCCATTAAATGATGCTGTAATGGCAAGTTCTACAAAGTACTCCTGTTGTTCAGCTGACATAAATGATTTTGATTTCTGGTGAGTGAGAATAATAATAAATAATAATAAAAACTTTATTTAAGTGTCAAATGTACTTAGCTGTTAAAGCACAAGCTAATTGGAGACACTAATCTAATCAATGATTATTAATTAACAATATAAATTCTAAAATCTAAAAAACTAACATTAATATTACGAACTGTAGAGATCGCAGCAGTCGCTATTTTTATTTAAAATATAATTTATATCTAATATCTAATTTATGTATGGTGGTTTTAAACAACTGGAGGCTAGGTGATTGTTTGACCAGGTTGTTAAGTCTGTTCCATAACACAAGTCCGAAATAAGGTATTGAGTGTTTCTCATAGTTAATAGTATTGAATCAAGGTAGATTAAAGTCTTTCTTTCTCAGATTGTAGCTTGAGCTATTTAAACTAAGAATTTCGGCAACATTGGTGGGGGCAAGCTTATGCTTAACTTTATACATGAGGATAGTCATGTCTTGAAGTCTACAATTATACAGTGTAGGTAATCGTGATCTTTTGAGCAGTGTCTCATAGGTATCTGCCCTTGTTCTATACACTGCTCTTAATGTGCGTTCTTGAAGGCATTCAATTTTCCTGTAGTCAGAATCCTTGCAAAAATGCCATATTAAGTTTTTCTCTGGGTACTCTGGTTTTCCCCTCTCCTCAAAAACTGTCATCATTTGAATTTATTTAATTTAGAGTTTATTTGGATTTATACATGACCCCACAAGCTGTTCAGCTTTAAACATTATCGTGTCTAAATAAAGGTGTTATTATTATTATTATAAGTGACAATAAGTAAGGTAGGGTAGGATTGAAGACTTGTAGATGGTAAGCTTAGCTGGACATGGAATGAGATTACACAGAGGCATAAGGACTCCAACTTTCTTGCTTGCTCTCTTACACAATTCACTAATATGATCACTAAAAGTTTATTCTGTTGTCGATACGGACGCCGAGTATTTTGATATGATCTGTGTTAATTATGGTACTGGATCTGCCACTGAAACTCACTGTTTCTCTTTGTGAGGTTCCAAAGGATATTTGAGTGTGATGCTAGGTTGGGTAGATCAGTAGATGGTCTGCAGAGAATTCTCTACTTATAAACCCTGAGAAGACAAAATTAGTGGTTGTTGGCTTAGCACAAGAGGCTACCTCATATCTCCGTATCTCTACTAGGCAAAACTATTTCACCAGTTTCGTTTGCTAAGGATCTTGGGGTATATATTGATCAATATCTCACCTATATGTATGATGTACATATCAATAAAACAGCCTCTAGTTGTATGCACCAGTTAGTACAGATAAGTAGAATAAAACATCTCTTAGACAAGAATACACTTTTATTACTCATAAATAGTTTTGTTTTTAGTAAACTTTTTTATTGTTCCTCAGTGTGGGGGAACACATCTAAACGCAATCTACACAAACTGCAGCTGGTACAAAATTTTGCTGCCAGAGTTGCATTAGGTTTAAGGAAGTTTGACCATATCTCTCTGGGACAGAGATCTCTTAGATGGTTAGATGTTATGTAGAAGCTGGTTTTATTTAACCAATTGAGCTAACTGCCTCCCGGTTATAGCTCAATTGGTTAAGTGCCGGACTGTTGGGCGGGAGGTCGAGGGTTCGAGCCCCGGCCGGACCAACACTTAGG